GAAAATCAGTATGCAAGGGAATCTCATAGAGGTGAGTCTGCTTCCTCAGATGAAGTAGTTCTGCAAATAATACTATATTTATTTGTATGCAAAGGGATCTTGTAGCACTTCTGAGATCAACTGACAGAATAAAGCTGGTACATGACCTTTTGTAGACTTGAGTCTACTTCCTTTATACTGTCAGTTGATCTCAGAGGTGCTACAAGATCCCTTTGCACACAAATAAATATAGTATTATAGAACACATTATTCTAAAATCAAAAGCCTTAATCAGATCTATTCAAAATCACATTACACATGCTGCCATACTCCAAAATGTCTGCAACTGTAGTTTCTACTTTGTTCTGTCTCGAAAGAGTAAGGGCTGAAATAGATGGCCTGGATAGGGTAGTGTAAAGCCACCACACTCAACGATGGATTTGGGTTGTGGCAGCCACATACCATGGCCCCAATCTACTGAAGTGCTGGCTGAAAAGGAGTGGTTTTTAACTGCTCCTTTTTCAGCCATGGAAAAGCCATCTTTAGTGGCTCTTCTGCAGCCCTGCAATGGCTTTGCAGAATGTTGGGGGCTTGCAGCATGCGGCTGCCAGGCTCCCAAGATGCCCAGAAGTTGGCCAATGTGCAGCCGCTCTGGGCACCTTCAGGTCATTATGGGGGCATGTGGCATGTGCATGCTATGCCCCCAAGCCAACTGGAGCCACCCCAAAGGCAGCATTTAGAGCTGGTCTGTTTTGGCTCTAAGACTTTAGTAACTATTCTCTTCTCCAAAGTGTAGAATACCCTCTACTGAGTTCAATGTGATGTACTTTGTAGCTTGAACTTGAGTTTGCACCAGCTGAAGCAATGGGAAAGAGATGGAGGAAACTGGTACATTTCACAAGCAGCTGAGAAAGTGAGAAGGTGGAAAAATATGTGTGGCTGTTTCAGCTGAACTGAGACAATTGCAGGGCACATGGCTGGATAACTATAAGAAATATGGTGGATGTGGGGCAAGAAGCAATACTGCTAAACCCTCTGCCCACCTCTCTGTTTTACCTGCCACTGCTGTTCCTGCCCTTACAGGGCCCAGGGGAAGAAGCTCTATTATAGAAAGTCTACTCTGAGTCAGTCAACTGTTATTTGCCCATGTTCTCAGAGGAGCAGCCATCCTAGGGGCTCAGCAAACAAAGCAATTGCACACAAGCATATGGACAGGTTGCTTACCTGTAACGGTATTCTTCGAATGGTCATCTGCGAATTCACACAAATGGGTTATTCTGCACTTGTGCAGCAAACTTCGGAACCTTCTTAGAGCTATTAGATGCGTTTTGGTGGTAGCTGCACCCACTCTCCAACTGCCTTCTTGGCTGGTTTCCCGCCTAAACCCTCAGTTCCATGGACGCCAAAGCAGCAGCCCAGGATGAAAGGAGAGGCAGGGCATGACTCTGAGGGGAGGATGGGTGGGATTTGTGTGAATTCCCAGATGAACACTCTAAGAAATACTGTTACAGGTAAGCAACCTGTCCTTCTTCTTCATGGTCTCAGTGAATCACATAAATGGATTAGACTGACAACCTTCGGTCAGTAGAGGAGGGAGTGCCATGCCACATAAGACGGCACATTGCCTCAAACAAAAATCACATTTTTGAGTCTGAATCCCAGGCATGTAAATAAAGGGGCAAATCGTCTCGCTAATATGACTCAACATGAGTCAAGCTGAAATTCCAATACTGAGACATAGTGGAAACAGTCACCAATGCAGGTGAGAACATGCACAGTGGCAGAAAAAAACAGTCTTGCCAGCTAACCCATATGTTGCACAGTCTACCTTGATGGTCTGTGCTTACAAGGCAGATGTATGGCTAAGGTCAAGGGAGAATCTCTGACCTAGACAGCACAAGTTTGTTAGCAATAGAATTATGCCAAAGCTATCCAGTAGGTAGCGAAAGATGTTCACTACTGCAAGTGCACAAAGTACAGTAGACAAATACGGCAACAAGAAGGAAAGGTATACAGACTCTGTCTAGTCCAGAAGATGAATGGAAACCAATCCAAAAGGCAACAGACTTGCAACAATGTGAGGCTGTCCAGGTCATGATGTTGGAAAAAGGATGTTTACCAAACCCTCAAATTTGAAGATGTGTCAAAGGGAATCTTTCAAGTGGAAAAAGGATAGTGACTTGATAAAGTCTCTAAGCCATTGTTTGAAGATTATGGCATCGACAGACAATGCCTAGAACGTTAAACAATCTAGAGCAAAGCGCTCACATAGAATGTGAAATAGACCATCTGTGCTCAGCAATGAGAAGGTTGGGCATCACCAGCAAAAGTGGCAGAAAACAAGTGCCTGCACAACAATTGGGCTGTAGGATGTCTGGATAGTCCATTCATACAGAGAGAACCTAATGGCATCGAACTGGAGAAACTCCAGTAACAATTTCTGGAATAGTGGTGGACATCAGAGATGAGGAATAGTACCTCATCTAGTCATAACAAAGAAACTGACAACAGGGAGAGTGAGAATATCACAATATCCAATTGTTGTGACCCACAAGACACGCTGTGTTTGAACGTAACATTTCAGGCTATCAGCATGAAACATGCAGTTCTTTGTGAAAATTCCAGAAAAAATAATAGTGGCTGGTGTGATGACTAGAAGACTAGTCATAGCATTATAAAAGTAAAGGGATTTCGCAATGTAAGTAGAAAGAGATCACTGTGGGAATGTTATCCCATCCTGTGATGTCCTGCAAAGGTGGTATCAAGGATAACATAACTTGGCAAGAATGATGATAACTGATAAGCAACAGTATAGCAGGAGCAATATAATGTTGACTTGTCATGAATGGGTCATGAAAGAAGAATTTTAGAACAGGGGGGCTGGAATAGACCTTAAGAGCCACCAGTCCAGCTCCTAGCCAGGAGTGAGACCCTTTATCATATAAATATTGGGTGTGTGATGAAGCATGAAGTGTGCTGTGATAGGGCACAATAACAGGGGGAGCACAGGCTTCCCTGTATTGAGAGAGAAGACTCAGGACGCTTGCAGAGTGCATAGTTAGCCTTGGCAGGAGACCTGAAATGTCACCACCTCACCAGAATGATGCCTTGAGACCAGAGGTTCAGAAGAACCAGACATGACGTCAGCCTGGAGAGACGGGACAAGTATGCACATCCCAAAATCATGAAGTGTCCACAGGGGTGGACAAATCTGTGAAATGGAGGCTTGAATTGGAAGGATGTCCCCAGAGGGTGTTCCTGCCCAGGGCAGCAAATGGGAAAGAACTGATGCAGTTCCCATCTGAAATGAGGCCCAAGAAGATTACACTGAAATTGTTGGTCAGTTCATGAGATTAGCTCACCCCAGGTAGAGACCAAACAGTAGCTTGTCACATATTTCATAGATATGAGTGGCACTGACAAGAACCCCTTGAAAGGGGTGTGCGTATGAGGCGTAGACTTGTATTCCTCGTTATATGCAGTGGCTCTTGGAAAGAAGACATCAACCGTATTCACTGACATTTACACTGTGGCCGCAAGTCACTCACCCTGAAGTCAGAACAAGGCAGCCAGCCTCAGTCACAGGGCTGGGTAGCTCATTCTGACCTCAGAGTAAGTGACAACCACCATGGCTGTGCTGAAGGGCACAGGGGGCACATTTTAAACAGTTGCCTGGAGTCAGAATGGAGGGTTCCAGATCTTCTTGTAAGATCCAGAGCAACTAGTGACTTTTAAAATACATTATAAGAGGGGTATGCCCTGGTTTGGCAGTGAATGGTCCAGATACTGGTCCTTATTGAGTACTACAATTGATACTGAATTGATACTGTACCTATCAGAACATCCAATCACAATTTTATCTTATTCTTTGTTGCATACCCCTATATTTTGGAGGGGTGGAGTGGGTTGAGGGGCATTTGCATTTGGCCAGTTTACCATGAACTTTACATGTAATACAATAGCCAACAAAACCAAAAATAGTACCTTTAAAAAAGACTTCTTCTTTGGCATTAAAGAATTCTAATTGTCCTGTAGATTATCAAAGTTCTCAAAACTTCATGTGACTGGTGCCACCATCTGATCCAAATTAGCATCATGAAACTAAGATTTCAAGGCAAATAAAAATACTATATCATCTTAATAAAAGCATCATGTGGCATGGGAAAATGAAGGCAAGAAAGATATAATTTTATAGGCCTTGCCCCAGTTCCACTTACGGCAAACTGAAATTTAAAACTACTAAAAGAAGCACACATCATCAGCCACGTAATGAATCTGCTACAAATATTGTGCTGTTTTTTCAGCTCACTTTCCACAAAAAGCCTTTGGAAACAATAGGATTTGGGGCACTGTAGCAGATAGCCTTCAAAGCTTTGAATTGTGTGGGTCAAGCAGCCTATAGAGAATGTATCAAAGTCATACTAGAAAAAGCAGGGCCTGGGAAGAAGGGTCCTCAAATACAATTATTTCAAGACAGATGCCAGAAGATGAAAATGGGGTCACAAATGTAACCCTTAGCTTTATTATATCCTTATAAAATGATCACAGGAAGCTGGTCTTTGGACATGATTATGGGGTGCTGTTTGAAGGAAGGAATGAAAATGGGGAGGTAAGTTCACAGAAGTTTGTGTTGTTGTTGTTGTTGTTTTTAAAAAAAAGATCATATTAGACCTCAGAAAAGTTGAAAATGCATAGCATTCAGCAAATAAGGTCAAGAACAAGACACTGCTTTAAAAATAATATTCAGATGCTAACTACACATTATAACGAATGCATAGATTTTGTGTGAAAGTGACTTCTCTGCATATCTCCAATAACATCTACTTTTGAAAAGGTGTATGAGATATCTTCACACCCACATTCTTCCTTATTTCTGCTAGCAAGAGCCAACAAAACTGACAAAACTGAGCTCAACAACATCATAGCTCATATCCTGTTTTACTTTATATTACTGTGGAGGAAAGCAGAATGCATGTTCGTTACTGATGCAAAATTTAGTTTGGCATAGATCAGACATGAGAGCCAGCATGGTGTAGTGGTTTCAGGGTTAGACTACAACTTTGCAGATCAGGGTTCAATTCCTTGTTCAGCCATAGAAACCCACTGGGTGACCTTGGGCAAATCGCACACTCTCAGCTCCAGGAAATTCCATACTGGTTTTGCTTTAGGGTTGCCATAAGTTGGAAATGACTTGAAGGCACACAACAACAACAACAACAATAACAACAAAAACACTTGAGAGAAGGGGTTTTCCAAAAATTCAGATGTACCTTGAGTTCAGAGGAAGCTTGGGGGCAGCTCAGTCAAGATGCTAAAGAATGTAATTGTTTCTCTTAGTAATATGAAATTCGTGATTATAATCAGCTATTTTTAAATCCACTGCCACCTAGCAATTAAACTATATACAGGCACAAATTTCATATGGCCTCACACATGTGTGGAGGCCTCAACCAAGCTTCAGAGATTAATGACAATATGATATAATGTTCAAAATAAGGGTCAGAACTCTATAAGCAGAACAGCTTGTATGTTTTCTCCTGAGCAAAACACCATTTTGTTGAGCAGTAGTCTATTTAATCACTGAATCAGTCAACTGAAACATCAACTACATTTTGCCCTAAAATGATTTTAGCTAAATCATGACATAATGTAAGTGTGTGAGGCCTTGCCAAAGAACATGACTTCTGAAGTCCATGATGTAAGTAGTGGGTAACTCTGCTCCCTTCACTCTCCTTTTCAGCCCCAAAGCATTTGGTAGAGGTTGGGTGCCCAAATAGATGTGTGTTTTTACTTGATGTGTTTTTAACTTATATGTATTTGCTAATCTGTTGTGGTTCCCCACCTTGATTCATGTGGAGAGGTGGATGATGATGATGATGATGATGATGATTTTGTTACTGCTGCTAGTTTTGCTGCTGCTGCTACTGTTGTCTCTGTCTAACTCAATGGAGACACTTCATGGATGAAACCAGAAAGAGTTTATTGGAGAGATCAGCACAGAAACACACTCTTTGCCATGGAGTTTATCACATTTTTTAAAAAAACAACAACAACTTATCCCTGCTGTTTTCAAGTCTATTATAGGATGTAGATGGGTATTATTGCATGGAAAATGCTGCCAATGCTGCTGCCCACCTGCATCCCGCCTAAAACCCAGCTACAAGCTGCACTCAGATGGACGATTTGCAAAGTTGAGAAGTTCCCGACTTTGCAAATCAGCCATCTGAGTGTGGCTTGTAGCTGGGTTTTAGACAGGATGCTGTCAGATGGTGGCATCAGCAGCATTTTCCATGTGATAATACCTGACTGCATCCTGTAATAGACTTGAAAATGGCAGGGATAAGTCAAGTTTTTAAAAAATGCAATAATGTCTAATATCTGAATTAATAAGCTATGATTCACTTCTATAACCCCCTTGGATTCCGCTCTCTTCTTCCACATTTTTTTACAGAGTACCAGGCAGCTATATGACCTTGGTTCATACACAACAACCCCCAGCAACTGCTCATGCTCCCAACATAGCTCCAGCATAGCTAAGCAGGTCTAACCTAACATGGCAAAGAGCTATGAGAGGTGGCTCTAACAATAGCACATCTTTTTGAGGCCTTGCTAAGGCAAACAGAGTAAATAGGCTTGTGGCAATGGACAAAATATTTGGGGGAAATGGTTGAAAAATGTGTTTTTTTGAGTACCGGTATTAGAAAATCTTGACAAGAAGAATATTAGGTTTATCTTTGATTCTTTGCAGTTTGGGACATAAACTCTATAAAATTCACACATGGATTTTTACTTATGTATATCATTTGCAGATACAAGAACACTTTCTGCATAAGAATAAGCACTTTCTTTGCAGAAAATAATACTGCTGTGCATAATGACCCTGATCTGGCTTTTTGCCACTCCAAAAAGAGCTGGCAAATGCTGCTCCTTTTTGGAGCAGCAAAAAGCCGCCCTTAGTGCCGCCACCATGGCTCTTTTGCCCCTGTTTGGCACAGCGTGTCTACATGCTGTGCCAACAGGGCACCCTGATGCCACATGCTGTTTGGGGGGGGGGCACACAGTATGATGCCATTGTTGGGATGAAGTTGGGGTGGCCGGTGTGCAGTCACCCCACCCAACTCCACTCCCAGACTGGCTCTTTTGGCTGGTCTGCACAGGCTCTAAGTGCCGTTCACTGATACAAAAGACAAAATTGTAGACTTTAACAAAACATCCATATGTCAATTTAATCTAACTTACATGGACACACAATACTATTCAACAGCTTCGGTCATAGGAGACACTGACAAGCAAACACTTGCAATTGAGCATTTGTACACTTTAAACAAACAAAACAGCTGTTAGCAAACAAAGGTGGGGGGGAGGAGAGGAAGCAATTTTAATGAATTATCAGTTGCTTCACTTTCATTTAGCTTCATTCTTCTCCAATTTGTTCATACCTGTTCACCAAGGTAGTATAATTAATTTTCTGTGGCGAACAGATAGCAAAGTCATATAGCATGTGAGTATATCATCCATAGTTTGGGCATATTCCAAATGACAGCTTAAAGCAGTAATTATTATCTGCCAAATGGTTGCAAAAAATAAAGTTGTGATTTGTAATGCAAATGAACTCATAGGAGTGGAGACAATAAGATCTGAAACAATGGGTAAAAGAATAGCATTGTGACTGAACCACACTGTTCAGAGAAATGCAAAAGGTGCAGTCAAGGATAAAGCAAACTTAACTCCCTTTAACTCATGGGCTTGAGGCTACAGTCTTTGAGGAAGGTTGGTGTTCAACAACATCCAGAGGAACATAGATTTCCCTAGCCTTGCTCAAATACTTTTAATAGCCCCCCCCCACACACACACACACATTGCTCCATTCTCTCACACAAAAACTAGCATCCTGGTGATTAATCCCAATTTGAGTAAATCTAGACTCACTGATTCAGAGAGTCTACTTTAGTCAAGACTAACAACATGATTTAGAAGAAAAATGATGATGTTAGAGTCACAGGCCTACATTTTGTCTCAGACAAATGGAATGAATAGAATGTATAAAAAGAAATGTAGCTGTCAATGGTAAATTTAGAAGTACAAGAGAAAGCACCAAGTGGTTATCTGGCAATCATAAGATTAGCTAGTGCTATCATACTATTCATTTGAGCTGTAGCTAATGCCTGGCACCAGACCACCAGAAAAGATGAAGAAAGAAACTTTTTTTTTAAATAAATTTTATTACATAAACACAAATATACAAATATACACATACATATAATGACATATAAATACAAATACACATTACTCTTAACATTACAGAAAACTACTTAACACATAACTAACCACATACACCTTTAAAAAAATTTAAGATCTATCTTAGCTTACTCTTAATGCTTCTTCCAAATAAATGAGTTGTTGCCTTCAAATCACGTCTAACTCTATCACTATCCCCAAATATATTATTTACATAATTTTATTAACTTAAAAGATGAAGAAAGAAACTTGTTGAAGACTTACGACTTTCTCAGAGTTGAAAAGTCTGGGCATGATTGGCAGTAATTGTACTGACACACATAGCTTTCTGCTGAGATTCCCCCCTTGTGCATAGCTATTAAAGGGACAGAATCTCTGTCCTGTTTTGCATCTGCCCACCATTATTGGGAGCAACATTCAGTTGGCTTGAAAGAGTGAGAGGACAAGTCTGACAATAGCCTAAGCATATATGTAGTCATTCTAATAATACCCCAGGGTGGGTAACAAATAACATTGGAAACAAACAAACAGTATGACAGAATAAATGCATGCTTAACAAAACCATTAGCAGACAAACAGTCAATAGAGACCAAGTCATATTCATTCTCTCTCTGGCTTTTCTTCACAAACGAAGATTCAGGAAGGACTCATCCCATGCTTTTTGCAAGCGCGCTGATGACTAAAAAGGCCAATCCAAGATAAACTAGTCCGGTTGCAGAAAGCACAGCAGAAGATCTTCTTGGGTGATGTTTCCGGGTTGTGATTCTTTCTTTGTTGTCGTTTCTCTTCGATACTTGTTCGGCATGACTTCTCAAATAAGGCTGCAGCATTGTGGATAGTGCGTCTCCATGCCTCCCGATGTGAGGCCAGGGTGGACCATTGTTGGTGATCAATTTGGCCAAGCCTGAGATGTTTTTTCAGGAAGTCCTTGTATCGCTTTTTTGGAGCACCCCTCTTATGCTGACCTGTGGCGAGTTCACCATAGAGTACTATTTTTGGGAGGCGATCCTAGAAATGTGCCCTGCCCAGCGCAGCTGCGTTTTCAATAGCATGGCCTCAATGCTGGCGATCCCTGCTTGCTCAAGGACAGCAACATTCGTCACACAGTCAGTCCAGTGTATATTTAGGATTTTGCATATACAGCGCTGATGAAAGCGTTCAAGGAGTCGTAAGTGTTGGCGATAGGTGATCCATGTTTCAGAGCCGTAAAGGAGAATAGACAGTACAATGGCTCCATACACACTGATTTTT